TGCAGAGATCCGTAGAAAGCACCCTACAAGAAAACGAGAGAGAAAAAAAAAATTCAAAGCAAAGAGAGGGTAGGGGCGGCTAGTGTTTCACGTGACATCAATCAACGCAATGCCGCAACATGCATGAGAGACGTTGTTACTAACTTTTTAATCATCACTTTTGTCAAAAAAAAAAAAAGAAAAAAGAAAAAACGAGAGATGTTGAATTTTTTATGACTGGTGATAAAGACGTAGGTACGTGTCACACGAGAGCCAAAAATCAACCGCGGCGGTAAATTTACTTCTTAGGCACCCTCTCGATTTTGGCTCCACCAATGCTTTATTATTATTTTTTTTTTGAGCTGTCACGATTTAGGGTAGAAATTATTTATATGATATTATGGTAATTCAAATTTGGATATTAAATAAGGTATTAAATGTATCAATTAATTAACCTACAAAATTTAGTGCAGCTCCACAAATACTTTAGAGGCTAATAAGTAAAAGATAATAATAATGTAGCATAGTTACTATTTTTTGATACATATATATTTAATATAATGACTATAGTGCAAGGTGGAAAATTCTTTCTACGTTCACACGCATGCATATGTATTAAGTGAGTTGAAGATAAAGAAACCAAAGACGACTCTCCACTCAATTGTATACCTAATTCGATCTCGTCGGTATATGCAACATATATTTTTGGGTTTTTCTAACTCTAACTACACATTTTAAGAGTATTTTTTTAATTATAAATATATATAAAAAGTTGTAAAAATTAATATTAATTTTAATGTTAATGTCAAGTAGATAAATTTAATTAAATAATTAATAAAGTAAATATTAATTTTTATTTTTTAATATAAATTTATGACAAAAATGTATTTTTAATATACCTTTAACTTGGTTAGACAAACTTTATGTTTTTTATACCATACGCAAATTAAAAATAATAATTATTATCAATAACTTAAATAATTTAATGATAATATCTATTTAAATAATTTTTTTAAAAGAATTTGTTTAACATGTGTTTTAGATACAATAAATATATTTTTTATAATTAATTTAAATAAAAAATCATAAAAATTTACTTTTATTTGTCACATGATAGTTTTAATTAGTTAATTGATTAAATTTAAGTCAATATTTATATTTTTTATGTAAATTAATTTAAACATAATAATAAATACATTTTTAATTTGTGCTAAATAAATCCTTTTTTGAAAATAACATGATTATAATATTACGTAATATTATAAAGTTTTAATATAATTAATATATCATTATATAAGTAATTATTTTACTTAAAAATTTAATATATTTATTTAATAATATATCATACTAATTTAGTAATATATTATAATTATAAATTTATAAATTTAAATAACATTGTAGTTATAGTATTGTTTTTTTTTTTTAACACTATATTATTAGGGTTCACATGGGTTTTTAAAACGAAGGCATGATTGAAGCCTGACGTATCAAAAGAACAGCCTGTCCTCACCTCAGTGGTCAATTTGTTGCGCTTGGTCTGCTTTGTCTTTGTCTGGGCTTCTCAATTGGAAGGGTCAGTCGCGGTTTGATGGTAACATTATATTAATAAATTAATAATGAGCGGTTTATGAGGCTACTCAAAATTTTAGATAATTAATTATAATATTTAAAAATACTTATTTATAAATAAATTTTAATTTATTAAATAATAAATATTAATTATTTTTAATATAAAAATGAAAATTAAACAACTTTATCTATCCGCAACATTTGGCCGGCCGGGGGCTACCACCACCACTATTCTAGTTGCAAATAGCTGTAGTAAAGGGTTCAGAACGTACAGGTTCATTTAATATAATTGACACTGACACGGTGACCCTGTATTTGTCCATCCCTAACAAGAAAATGAGTTTCCTGAAAAAAATCAATCATAAAATTTGGCAAGACGCAGACAGATCGAAGATATCCAAGTTATTTCTGCATCACGATTCCCATTCCAAAAGACATGTGTTACATATTATAGAAAGTGGACCTTGTTTGTTTTCCTCGAAAAGGGAAGAAAATTAGTGGGCTCGCTTAATTCAGTATCGAGACGCAATGATTCCATTTGAAGTGAAGAATGACCCCATAGTCAACACAAAGGCAAACCTTTTCTGGGGTTGATTTCTCTTGCTGCAATCACTCACATCTCCATGAACATGTTATGCTTTCTTGTGTTTAATCGATTCGTGGAATAAAAGTGACATCCTCTTTCGACTATTATATATGGATTAGTTATAATTTTTTTATAACATGGTTAATTGGATCCTTAACTAGTTCAGCAGTCACTGCTTTATCTACAAAGGCAAACTTCCATCCAAATATAACAGACATGGCTTATTTAGAATTATAAGCACCTGGACAATAACAGAGGGATGATTTAAAATATCAATTTTGTCCTTTAATTTTTAAATTTTTATTAAATTTATTTTTAAAATTTTAAAAATATTAAAAATATTTTTCAACTTTAATTTTTAATACCAATTTTATTCTTTTATTAGTTAAGTGCTAACGGTGATTATTTTTTCAGTTAAGTAATTGATTAGTTTAATTTTTGAATATTGGGTGAAAAATTTAGTGTATAAAATGATTATGTGTATTTTTTTAATTTTAGATAATGCAAAAAATTTACTTTAGTTTAAATTTTATTTTGTTTACCATAAAAAATTAAAATAATTAATGTGACTCACCTATTTAATCGGTCCCATCCACCACAATTAATTTTTAATTTATGAGAGAATTAATTAGCTTTCATTTCATTTTATTAAAACAAATCTAGTTATAATAAACTAAATTTAAACAAATTAGACAAAAAAAGAAAAAAAAAAGAAAGAAAAAGAAACGATTCTTTTGGTTCCTGTTCTTCCATCTTCGTCCCTTTCCCAGTTTCCCTAGCTCTCTGTCCCTCCCTCTACCCATCTCCGTCCTGCTCTTCTTTTTTCTCTCTTTTTTCGTTGGATGGTTAAAACTTGATTTGGGTTTCTCCAAAAGAACCCAATCTGGGTTCTCATTCTTCCAGATCTAGTCCAATTGAACAAGGGAAGTTTAGAGCCTAATTTTTGAAATACATGGCTGTCAAAGGGAGGTTTGAGATTTGAGTGCAGCTGATAAGTAGAGAGGAACTAGATCTGGGTGTCAGTGGATCAAAGGACTTGCTGCTCATGCGACTTTAGCTAGAAGCAAGGAACCAGATCTGGGTTTCTCCAATATTCTCCATCTCTGTCGCCTTCCCTTTCCTTCCATCACATGGTCTATGTTTCCCTCTTCTTCATTACTTTCTCTTTCTAGCTTTTCATAGCAGAAATAATGTGGGATTAATTTGAGGAATCATTAGAGTTTTAAGCTTTAATCTCCATTTATGGTGGGGAATTCTTGTTTGTGTGTTGTTGGGTTCTTGGTGGTTGGATTTTTTGGGTTGAATTTTGATGGTGTTTCTTTTGCTATTCTTTCAAGTACTCTGTTCTTAGGGATCCTTTTTTTGTGCTAGAAAGATGGAATTTTTGGATGAGACCCACTATTTGTTGAATGGGTGAACTGTTCAACGATGGGAACAACATATGGGTATTTTTGAGTCATCAATTTGTCTCTTCCAAACTCTCGGCTTCTGGGTTCGATTCCGGCCAATTTGCAAATATTACTGAGTACTTGCAAATTTGCCTTTCAATCTTTAGTTTTTACTTTTATAAATCAATTTTTTAGATGCATATATCTCTTGTTCTTGAAGAGAGAGAAGGGAGGACTGTTAGATCTAAAATTGATGAATTAGGGAAGGGAATAAACTGGGGAAGTGGAAGGGGAAGAGATATTGGGAGGAAATGGAGGGGAATGGTGGAGGGTAGAAAAAGGAGGGAAGCGAGGAAAAATATAGGAGGAATGAGGAAGAAGAAGGTTACTTTTGGAATTTTAGTTATAATAATTTTATAATTTAATTAATTAATTATGGGTGGGTCCTAATTCGTTTGTTAAAAGTGAAAAAGTCAAAAAGAAAAAAAGTGCCTCCTTGACATCTTATGCATGATTTTTTTTCATGTCACTATTTTTTAAAAAAAAGTGTAATGATCTGCCAACTTAACATGGCACATGTCAAATCCGTCAAATTGATATAAAAATAAAAATTCAAGAATAATTTAGATATTTTTTAAAGTTTAAAAATAAATTTAATATTAATTTAAAAATTGAGAACTAAATTAATATTTTAATTTAAAAAATTCGACCCAGTACTTTTAAAATTATTTATATCACTTTTCATCATTTTTTTTTATTTGAAAAGAGCAATTATTAAAGATGTTAGTGTGTTAGAAATGTTAATGTGTAGAAAGGGTATTAAACCCGAAACATAAGATCCGAACTACGAACTGCTTCAAAAAACAGCAAATCACCGTTGCGCCAAACACGTGGAATGCCACTTTTCATCACTTGAGCCAACATGAATTGACAATTTTATGTGAATTGAAATAGGTTTAGTGCTTTCTAATAAGCCAATTAATGTCATATAAAATAAAACATTAGGACAGGAGACAACATTGGGTAGTGAAACATGAGAGATTTTGTTTTGTAATTTAATCAGTCAACATATCATGATCGTGAAATAGAGAAATCTGACAAAGTCCCTCGTGGAACAAGGGGATATATTACTTCTGCATGTTTCACCTAGGAAATACTTGTTTAAACTAAAGACATTTTAAATTTTGGTGACATGAACAAAATATTATATCCATGCCTTGTTATTGGCGAGAAAGGTATGGTTGTGACTCTCATGCTGCGATATTTGAGGGGTTGACTAGAGTCCTAGTTGATAATTCTATGTTGGACTAATTAAAAAGCTTATTACCTGTGGAAAGGGGTCTTTCCAACCCACAATGCATTCATATCTTTGTCTTCAATCGACATTCTGTGTTCCAAGTGATCCAGTCGAGTAATCCATGGAACACTCAGCTCGTGCTCGATCTACGCAACATATTTAATTTGCGAGTTCAAAAATATTATGTCTTCTATAAAATCATTAATTTTTTTAAAATTTTTTTTGGAGAAATTAAAAGCAATTAATTAGTTCTAATATAGTTAGTACCATCCTTTTAAGGAAAGACCAGTCTCCATTTCCTATAGATACATATTTCTCAAGTAATTTCCTTGAAAATGATCTTACCTCTTCAAGTTCATATTTTCCTAGAAACATAAGATCTGTGGCTCTATGAACATTCAGCATTACGCTTGAGAAGAATTCGTAGTTCTTTTTTAGATGATCTTGAAATTTTTTTTCATTTAAAAACCAACAGAAACTCCCTGCACATTTACAAATTAATTAAGTAAATTATTTAAAGTACATGTATACTATAATTAGTAGATGTATGTATATATGCATGCTTGCATATGTATTCTAGGAATCATACATGGAGATATTGTGTAACCATGCATGCGGAGAAGCCGAAATGCTAAAGAATCCTTATGTAGCTGAGTTACACTTGCGGTTCTTGATCCTCGACTGGATTCTTGATTTTGGTAATTCCTAGAATTCAAATGATTTTCGTGGCAACAAAAGGTTATTATTATGTATATTTTATAAATAATTTTTGTGTATGCAATTTCTTTCCCATACCTGTGAATATGGGCCAAAATATGGTCTATTTCTTGAGCAAAATGGTCGGCTAACCCTAATATTTGAAGTTGATGCACCAAACAAAGTTGTATTAAGTCTTCATCCATAGGATATGTTGGTGGAACTGCACACAAGTTAATTAATTAACACTTAATTTTCAGTAGAAATGAAAATTTAAATTTAAAAACTGTATGGATTAATTATTTTTGAACAGAGAAAAATCTAGTGAATGCGGAAAAACAAAGAGAAAATAAGAAAAGAAAAAAGTTCAAGAGGTCTATTTATTTTAAATGGAATTCAAAATTTTTTAAAAATTGTCCTCCATTAGATTGTCTTCAAAATGAAGTATAATTTGACTATATATTCAGGTCCCAAAAGATATGCATGGATTAATTTCTATAGAAAATTTTGTTGACCTCCATTAGGGCATCTTTGAACGAGAGATTGCAGATAAGCTAAGCACTCTCTCTTTCCTGTAGCCATAAATGCTCCAGCTGTGGCTGCAGGGGACTGGAATAACGAGCCATCCAAGCTTAAGTCCTTGGTTATGCTTTCTTCAATGAGTTTATCATCAGTAGGTGTTAGGACTTCAAGATACGATAGCAATGGAGGAAATTGTTCTCCAACCAGTTCCTCCCTGCATTAACAAATATTATAAGAGCTATTTATGAATGATTTGAAAAATATCTACCATAAGAAGTGTAACATAAATATGTTTTCTACAATCGACTCTACACTCAAGGTATTTTTTTCCTTTTTAATCTCCAACTAATGTTTTAAGTGGACAAAATACTAGATAACAATATTCTCTAAATTTTAATTATACAAGTTGACAACCTAAAAGGAAGTATGCATTAAATATCGTTCATACCTTTCACGAATACCTTGCCTTTCACCAAAAATGTTCATTGATAGTCCTAGCTGCTTAGGAAAGGCAATCTGTAGACCGACTTCATGTGCGAGATCAATCATTCCAGGGAAAACAATGGCAAACCACCGAGGAAAATGATCACCAAGAAGCTTCTCAATATTTTCATTCACAAATGCCAACCCTATAACAATAATGTAAAACTGTAAAATACTAAGATAAATGAAATTCAGATATATATAAGTTTTAATTCAGGTATGTATATCTAATATTGAAATTTTAAAGCCCATCTTTAGTTAAACTATTAGAGAACACTCCTTATACGCCCAATTAAAAAAAACAACCATGATCAAGTGTTTCTTAATAACTAAACTAAATAGAAACTTAATTAAAATATATATATACACACGTAAATTAGTTTTGGAATAATGATTTTGTCACCTCCTTGCACTTCTCTTGTCCCAACATTCCACTTCTTGAGTGCAACTACGCAGGCAAGAGTAGCCAGAGGAGACTCGATGGTGGGCATGCCATGACCATCACACTCTCCCCAAAACCCATCTTCTCTCTGGTTATTAAGCACCCAATCCAAGCACCCCTTGAACATTGGTCGACCAGTTGGATCCCGAGGATCTGGAATCATGGCTAGCCATGCAGTGTCATGCGCAGAAGGGGAAACAAATGTGTAATTAAGGATCAATGTCTGAGGACATCTCTTCCTTGATCTCCCCAACTAAAGCTTGGATGGAAGAACATGAAAGTTCCATCACGTAACCTTACAGAAAAGAAATTTTTAGAAAGAATTAAGTTAATATTTCTCTTATTAATGCATGTATTGGTGAATGAGATATTTATAATACAATCTTACTACCTTATTGCGTCCCAGACTCGAGGAAAGGGCAAAAAATGTGAAACATGTTGGTGCCTTTTATTTTATTATTATTTGTGGTTTTTTTTAAATAAGGAAAATTTTGGAAGTCGGAAGTGATATATATATATTTTTTTGAACAGCTGTCGGAAGTGATATTATAGCTGCTTGTATTAGATTTTTTTTTTAAACATATTAAAATTATTTATATATATTAATTTGGGAAAGGAAAAAAAAGTTCTATGAAATTCAAATATACTACCCACAGGAAGTGAATGATCCTAATTTAAAATCCATGTTATTGGGCATGTTATTGGTCTGAGTGAATTGTTTTGCTTCTATTAGAATTTAAACTTTGATATGGGTCAAAATTTTTATTGCACATTGTCAGTTTATTTAAAACTGCAAATGATTCTAATTAATAAAATGATTAGTATATATTTG